AAAAAAAAAAAAAAACGTTTGAAATCCATTTAGGAGGTTTTTAGGGATTACATGAAGAATTTTTGAGATGAGTTTTTTTAATTTTAACATGAAAATTACTTTGCACACAGACTATTCAAAACAAATACTCAATATACTAATGAACAAATCTTTATTTTATTTTATCAAAAATACTTCACTGAAAAATTTAATTTTTTTGTATGTGAAAAGACTTATTATATGAACTGAAAGACTGCCAGATTTTGAGAAGATATACACACTATATTGAAAGTTAGAAGTATTAAATCTATAATGCCTTTAATCAAGTACAAAGAGGTCATGTGGTTGGTCAAATTAACCGTGCCCATGTTGAGAGAGTTAATGCTCATAGGAAATTATAAGATTCTCTATAAATACAGGGTGTACACAAATGGATGGTGGGGTTTCGTGACATTGCCATTATGTTGCTACTACAACACCCAGCATTATATGCATATCCACTTTTTTATATACCCATGTAGTTTTGTTAAAAGTAGTGTTTCATTTTGCTGAGTTCTGTTTTAATGAGTACCGTTCAAGAAAAGGCAGCATGCGTTCTATAGTTAGCTGAGCTGAAGTCGGTGAAGTTGGTCCAACGACAATTTAGAACAGAGTACAACAAAGATCCTTCACATGAAAATAACAAATGATGATGGTTGAAGACTGTTTGCAGGGCTCTAAATACCAGATTCTCTGACTGATAGATCAGAAAAAATGGATCAATTGCATGTGCCCCAAGGAGTCCCAACTTCACGCTTTAGACTTCTTTCTGTGTGGCCATGTGAAGAACACTGTGTACAGCAAAAGAATCACTGATTTGGCTTACTTAGGACAAAGCTTTACTAGAGCAATTGAAAGTGTTATACAAGATTCTTGACTGAATATGGACAGAAATTGGTTTTCGATATGATGTGTGCTGCACAGTTAATGGTGCACACATTGAAGTTGTGTAATACCATTTTAAAAACCTTTTGAAATGGATAAAACTACATTTACAAAAACCTTTGAAGTTGGTGAATCAAATAAACAAAAGTTCAATGCAAAGCGAGTATATTTTTTTACCAATCTGCTTACAAAACTCTACCATTCATTTGTGTACACCCTGTATAATAGTACTATCTGTTGTCTGACCATGTAACTACTTCGCAGGGTGTGGATGGATCTTCACCAAAATTGGTATGGAAGTTCATTAGGTCATGAGGGGATACATACAAATTTTGAGTTTTGCATTTTGTGGTTTTTATGGGTGTTTCTGTGTTTTCTACAACTACTTTGCACCCTGTTGATGGATCTTCACCAAATTTGGCATGAGGTTCATTGGCACCATTGGGAGAAACATATAAATTTTCAGTTTTGCATTTTGTGTTTTGCAGTTTTTATGGTCTTTTTGCATTTTTTAAATTACACATAAGAGAAGCAACTTTTCATGTCCTAAGTTAATCTTTCATTAATCATGAATTTACATAACTTCTGTCCAGAGGACAAGTACTCCAGCTAGTAATAAAGAAAATAAATACAACATAACATACTAAAAGAAATTTCTAAGCTTCGATTTTAAAAGTTAAGTGATATTAGGTTCCTTACACAGGAAATTTTCATCCTATGAAAAGTTAATTTGTGATCTACCTGGTTGTGAACATAAAGCTGAATACGAAATGGTAGCTTAGATGAAGAGTCAATCATCTCTATCATCTTATAAACCCAAAAACCACCAGTGTATTTTCCATCAGGGGCTACAAGTACATATAAAAAAAATAACTAAAATATTAAAACATTCTGGAAGTCATAATCTATATATATATAAAATAACCCCAAATGCTAAGCTTCATAGACTATATGTATTTTATGAGGACAGGATAACACATTCTAATGTCTTTGTAACTTTACAAATATTATTGCACAATTTTCCTATATTTTCTAAAAATTCACTAGAAATCTGATTAATATATATATTTAATATGAAATATATAAAACCTAAACAAGATAACATTATGGTGATTTCATACTGGGATTATGCTAATGCTATTCTTTTTTCTGTTTTGCCCCAAAACTTAGAAATATATAATAAATCAAAAATTAATAAAACCATGTTTTAGTTATTTCTACTTTTAAATATTATCCTATTGTGTTTTCCTTTATAGCCTCACAAAAACCTTTCAAATTAATAAACAAACAAGTTCTAATTTAGCAATTGATATCCCTGCTTTGTATAAATTGTGTAGAAGTTATGGATACATTTTTCAGTTCTTGTGGTTAGATTTTTCTTTATATAATTAGAATAAAATAAAAATGAGATCCTAAATAATAAGTCTCTTAAAATTCTCATACAAACTGGATGATATGTAAGAACAACATATTTTAAACTGAGTCTTAATGTTTATAATGCAATACTGACATATTTTCAAATTACCAAGGAACTCAAGAACACCATTACAATACAAAGCTATTTCTGTGTGTGAAGATTTTCTCTCAATAAATAACTATACTGTTTAACGTTTTGTTTTGCTGTTCTAAATAAACATTATCATAAATACTTATGAAATGAAAATTAAATACTTTCACCTGAACACCTTTCTCTCACATAGTGTCCAACATAAGTTAAAAGTCCCACAACATCAACAGTGGTACCAGGAGGGTGAGTGCTGTTAAATACAAAAGATAAAAGCATATATATTTCTGCAAACTACTGTAAAAATAAAGTGCTAATACATTATTCATTAATTTCAAATCTCACAAAGTCACACATAGTGATGTAACAGATATAAAAATTTGGCATGGAAATACTGGATTTGACTGGGTTTCATTTTAACAAAAGATAAAACCACACAAACTATCCAAAAAATAAACAGATAAATGAATATGATACCAAAACTTTCAATAAAAGAGAAAAGTTTATTTTGATTGAGAATGTCCACAACAAAATAATATTTAGACATTTATTTCAATCTGATATACAATATAAACAAAAAAACTGTCACATAATTTAATATTAGTGTGTTTGTTTTTGACATAAATTCATGGTACCAGTGATACAATTTACTGTTTAATTATTACAGTTTTGGCAGATTGCACTTATTTGTAAGAAAACAACAACAGAGTTTACATTACACTTACTATATGTTCTTTCCAGTAAGATTATTAGGCTTATATTTCATACGCAACTAGATATAAAAATAACATAATGTTGATTTATTGAGCAATGTTTCTGAATAAAAATGTCTTTTTAAGAAAAACTTGTATGGATAAATGATACACCCCTATAATTCAATTCCATTTTTTTCAAATAAAGGAGACAAAACTTCTAGTAAAAGCCCTCACATTTATCTATCCTCAAAAATTAATTTGGTTTTAAGGAGTTTAAGATAAAGTTAACTAAAATCTGAAGTTAAATTTTGATACAGTCAAACAAGACATATTTTATTTCACTTCCACTATTATTATATTTTACAATTAGTTTTGCATGAAATTCTCATACTCTGAATATATAGAGGTTTGTTTTTCAAATATACAGAGTATTTAACTACCATGCATACATAATTTTGAAGTTTCTACTTCTTTCAAATTTTAATTACACTATATTTGAAACCAGGGTAGTATCATCTGCATAGATGTTTATATCTTGGAATAAGGAGAAATAGATAGATAACATTACAATACAAGCAAAAGTACCCATCCCCAGTGATGGGAAAAGTTTAAGTTTATCTATCAATATAAATTATTTCATGCACGTTAGATAGGTTGTGTTGCACTCTTGGTTTCACTCAGAGCCAAAG